CCACCGAGCAGGGAGCCCGATGCGGGGCTCGATCCCAGGACCCTGGGATCATGACCTGAGCCGAAGGCAGACGCTTAACGACTGAGCCACCCCGGCGCCCCAATATTAGAGTTTTCCCACTTGCTTTCTTGCCTGTTGGCTGTCATTTGTGGCCGCTGTGGCAGAGAGATGACAGCTGTCTCTTGCTGTCACTTGTTGGCACCTTCCGATTTACAGCTTCTGGCATGTTATGGAATGGGAAGGCTGATAAGGAAGTTTGTGAAGATTTATGAATAGAATATATAGCTTCGAGAAAAAGAGCAAGGGCCTTTGCCAAGAAGTAAATTGTATAGATTTTGAGACGCCCTTTTTGTCTACCTCAGGACTTTTTCTTTTGGAATGTATTTATAGATTAGGGGATTTATAGAACTAGAAAGGCTCTTAGAGATTATGTAGTTCAAACTTCCCCTGTCCCCCTTTACAGTCAAGAGTGAGCCCCTCTTACTAGGGGCATTGTCCAAGGTCACATGTTTTGTTAGTTTCAGTGCTAGATTATAACCCACAGTTCTGATTCATGGTCAAGTTCTGGTTCCAAGGTAATGTGGCCCTTAGAACCAGAGAGTTGATGCTTAATAGGAGTTGTAACCTCTAGATAAAAGGGGGGTGGTGGTTATATGTTACCATCTCTGTCCTAGATTATGTGGGACGGCCATTCTTTTTTTTTTTTTAAGATTTTATTTATTTATTTGACAGAGATACAGCGAGAGAGGGAACACAAGCAGGGGTAGTGGGAGAGGGAGAAGCAGGCCTCCCGCCGAGCAGGGAGCCCGATGGGGGCTCGATCCCAGGACTCTGGGATCATGACCCGAGCCGAAGGCAGACGCTTAACGACTGAGCCACCCAGGTGCCCCGGGACGGCCATTCTTTCACTGAAGCACTGAATATATATCAGATTATATATTCAAATTACATACAAATTAGTTAGTACTTGTCAAGCACTTAGAACAGTACCTGGCACATAGTAAGCACTTTATGCTAATGATGATGGCGTTCCAGGCACTAAAATGGGCAGGCTCAGTGATGGATGGTACCACGATGATCAAGGTGCATGTGATTCTTGCTTGTATGGGACTTTTGTTCTAATTGGGAGAAGAGTATGGATTGGGGGACATTGTCATCTTATAACATGATATTTTGGCTTGCTTCTTAGATGCTTTCTTCACATGTCGAAAAAATGCCCTCCTGGCGAAGAGCTCGTCCACCCAGGTAGAGGGCAACTTTGCCATGGCCCCTCGGGGGCCCGACCAGGAGGAGTGTGAGGGCCTGCTACAGCAGTGGCGAGAAGAAGGGTCGAGCCAGGTGCTCTCAACTTCGAGTGAGGGTCCCCTTGTAGATAAGGGACTAGCCCAGAGCAGCCTGGCGCTCCTGATGGATAATCCCGGAGAACAGGATGCTGCTTCAGAGGACAAGTGGTCCAGCAGGCAGCTGAGTGACCTGCGGGCAGCAGAGAACCTGGAGGAGCCTTTCCGCGAGGTGCTAGGAGAGGAGCCACTGCCAGAGGTCGAGGTCCCAATGTGGGCAGCTGTCCCCATGCAGACCGGCCCCCAGTATGCAGACTGTGCTGTCCTCCCAATGGGTGCCCTGGCTGCAGAGCAGTGGGAAGAGGACCCCGCAGTGGTGGCCTGGAGCATAGCACCCGAGCCTATGCCCCAGGAAGAGGCTCCCATCTGGCCTTTTGATGGCCTGGGGCAGTTGCAGCCTGCCCCAATGGAAATCCCATATCATGGTGAGTCTGACAACTGGCTGAGGGAGCCTGGGCAGCAGCTTGTCTCCAGTGTGAGCAGAGCCATTGCTAGAGAGAAGATTCTCTGGCAGCGAGCTCTGTTGCTGCATTCTGTTTTTCTGAGAATCTTACAATATCAGATCTAGAGGGGCCTTAGAGATTGTCTCATCCAGCCCCATGTCTTTCAAATGAAATAGCCACGGTGCAGAGCGGTGGCAGGACATGCCTGAAGTCACATAGCCAGGTAGAGGCAGAACTGAAAGCACACCCTCGTTCTGATTCTCCACGATATTGTGGAGATCTCTCAGGGCCTCCACTCTCTGCCTCAACCAGAATTTTATCTTCTGGTTTTATCTGTGTTATATATTTGGCTTCCATTAAAATTTGAAGAATGAGTTCTGTGGCTCAAATAGCTTTGAAATCCACTTTGCAGCTCCATGCTCTAGGGGAGGTGGGGACATGTGATTCATAGCCCCACAGGCTTTTTTGAGTTTAAAGGTTAGGAAACACCCAAGGCTGAGATTACTCTAAAAATGTCTTTAACCTCAGGTGACTATGAAGCACATTGATCTGTGATTCTCCAGAGATCCATAGATTTATCAAAAGCGAGAAATTGTCAGCCTAGATCTATTGAACATGTACCAGGTACTATGCTAGGTGCAGTGGCGAACAGGCCAAGGTTGTCTCTGGCTTTGTGGAGCTTACTATCTAGTCTGCAAATGTCCTAAGAGTGCTGCTCAAATAGCCATAGAGATGCTATGGCATTCCCTGGGTGGCAGGGAAGATGAAAAAAGGAACTTCAGCATAGTATCTCTGAGTCAGGAGTGGAGATGGCGGGCCCTGAGGATAACAGGTACTTGTTGTGGACCTCTTCTTTCCACCCCTTTGCAGAAATCTTGTGGCGAGAATGGGAGGATTTCTCCGCTCAGCCAGATGCTCAGGGCCTGGAGGCGGGGGATGGCCCTCAGTTCCAGTTCACTCTGATGTCCTATAACATCCTGGCCCAGGACCTGATGCAGCAGAGCTCAGAGCTCTACCTGCATTGCCATCCGGATATCCTCAATTGGAACTATCGCTTTGCGAATCTCCTGCAGGAATTCCAGCACTGGGACCCCGATGTGAGTGAAGAGGGGAGGAAGTGCCATCTTGTATTTGCTTTGAACGTGGGCTATTTCCCAGTGCTCTTAGAAAATGAGTTCAACCCCATAGTTGTTTATAGGATTGGAGTTCTGCCTAGGGCTAGAGCTTTCCTGCCTGGAGTAAATGAGTTTTTGGCAGGTGCTGAGAAGACTCCGTGGGTACACACTTTCCAGCACCTTTATGCAGGGAGGGAGACTTGAGGGATTCAAGAAGTGGGAAAATCCAGCGCATGCATCTGGTCTACTCAGCTTAACTCTAGGCCTGTCCTTGCTGCTGGTGGCTGTGTGGGAAGAGTCAGCCCTGTGGGAAGTTCCAGTGTGACCCTGCGTGAGACAGGCAGCAGCTTCCCGCCTGGCCTCTGTGCCTGCTCCTAGGGTGGGAGTCACTTTCTAGCACTGTTGGTACTTTGGAGTGATTGGTTTCCTTGTCACTTTCCCAGATCCTGTGTCTCCAGGAAGTCCAGGAAGATCATTACTGGGAGCAGCTGGAGCCTTCTCTGCGAATGATGGGTAATGCAGCTCCCTGGCATGTTCACTGGTCTTGCTTCCTCCAGCCCTGTCTGCTCTCTCCTGAAGGCACCATCTTTTCCTTTTGCTTCAGTAAATCCTCAGTCTCACCTGTGCACTAGCCCCTCCTCCGTATGGGTGAGAAAGAAAGAGTTCTGCCGTTTTAAAGCAATTCTGACATTTACTGCCATTTAGTCCTTGAAGTAACCCACCCTGTGAGGCTGAGTTATTGTTATCCCCATTTCTACAATGAGGACACTGAGGTTCTGAAAATGTGTGTGACTTGCTCAAGGTCACCCAAGCTACAAAGCTAGGAGGTTGTGGAGCTAGGACTCTAATTTATCTGACTCTAGAATCCATGCTTTTCCTATCCACTTATATTGCTTCACACCCTTCTGTCCTACTTCCCCTTTAGCCACTCGGTCACCTGGCTATAACTGTAAGGGGACGTCTGCAGAACCAAGGAGTTGGCAAGGACAGGAACCCCCTTCCTGAGCAGCAGGAGCAGTGCCATAGGCACACACGCCCCGGCTACTGCCACTGGTTGGAGGGATTCAAGCTTGGAGGACTCTGACCCATCTCCTTGGCCGGGTGTTCCTTGCAGGTTTTACCTGTTTCTACAAGAGGAGGACCGGGTGTAAAACAGATGGCTGTGCTGTCTGCTACAAGCCCACGAGATTCCGTCTGCTCTGTGCCAGCCCTGTGGAGTACTTCCGGCCTGGCTTGGAGCTCCTCAATCGGGACAACGTGGGCTTAGTGTTGCTGCTGCAGCCACTAGTCCCAGAAGGCCTGGGGCAAGTGTCGGTGGCCCCCCTCTGTGTGGCAAATACTCATGTCCTATACAACCCACGCCGGGGTGATGTCAAGCTGGCCCAGATGGCCATTCTCTTGGCCGAAGTGGACAAAGTAGCCAGGTTGTCTGATGGCAGCCATTGCCCCATCATCTTGTGTGGGGATCTGAATTCTGTTCCTGATTCACCTCTCTACAACTTCATCAGGGATGGAGAGCTCCAGTACCATGGGATGCCAGCCTGGAAGGTGAAATGGGAGAGGCCACTGCGGGGGTGGGAATACGGCCAAGGGAGAGATTCAGGTATGGGCAGCTAGTGCTGCTTCTGTGGCAGGGACCTCAGTTACACCTTTTCTGGCTCCCTCCGGCTTTTTCTTGTTCTGGTGAATAGTCTGTACTCAAGCCTGGAAGTTAGAAATTCCTGGGTGCCTTTGGCATCTTGAAATCCTTTCAGTTTTTATCATTAATTTTTAGTTTATAAGTAATACAGAAGTGCATCCTGGCAAGAATTCAAACATTGTAAAATAAGACCAAAACCCTCTTTATCACCTACATTCCTTACCTTTCCCTCTCGAGTGAAGTAGTAACTGTTTGAAGTTTGGTGGTGGTCTCCCAGAATATTCTGTATGCATTTACAGTGATATCTATGTTCCTGTGATATTGTAATGATAATTTACATTTATTAGGCCCTTATTGGGTTCCAGGTGCTATTTTGGCACTTTACACGTGTTAACTCACTCAACTTTGACAGTTTCTATCATCGCTTCCATTTTTTAAGTGAGGAAACTAAGGCGTAGAGAAGTTTGGCAGTTTGTTGGCTCTAGGCTATGCAGGTAGCTAGTGGTGGAGCCAGGATCCCAGAGCTCTTGCCCTCCGATACTGTGCTATGATTGCTTCTGACAGCTGATATATGATCTGTTGTATGTGTGTTTATAAACCTATTACTGTATGTTTCATTCTGTAGCTTGGTTTTTTTCACTCAACAATGTATATATGGGTCTATCTCATTCCTTTTAACTGCTGAATGTTGATATCATAGATTCATAGTTTTATCCCATTTAGCCCTGCTGATGGACATTCAGCTTGTGCTGATTTCTTTATATGTCACTTAATCTCCCTGTTCCTCTGTTTGGCCACTGCTGTCCAACTTATTGCTTAGCTTTTGGCGAGGCGCAGTGGAGAAAGGACACAAAATGGCTGAATAGTTGAGCACTTTGGGCTTTTATTTTAATGAGGTTACTCAAATGCCAGCAATGTCCTGGTTCCCATGTGTGCAGAGAAAGGTCTTATCCTGTCGGAAAGCTGCTATAATCAAGGAGCTCGGAGAATGGGAAAAAGAATTTACTAAGTGCCTACCATGTGACCACGCCATTAAGCATAGTAATTAAGAGCCAGACAGTCCTGAGTTCCAGTCCCTGCTCTGCTACCTTGTGCAAGTTAACCTCCTTAAGCCCCATGCCTCATCTATACACTAGGGATACAATGGGACCCACTTTAGAGGGCTTTTTTTGTTGTTGTTTCGTGGATCGAATACAAGAACGCATGGTAAAGTGTTTTCCAGTTCCTGCTTCAGAGGAAGCAGTCAGCCATCAGTTGTTATTATCAAGATTCTTAATTGTAGGTGATATTATTATCCCATTTTATAGTAGAGGATATTGAACCCGAGAGTTAACTAACTTGCCCTAAGTTACACAGTAAGAAAGTGACCATTAAATTTTAGATTTGTCTTACTTGAGATCGCATATTGAAAATTTATGTCCTTCAAGGGCAGAGATTGTATCTGTCATTGCGCTCTCCCCAACACTTAGCTAGTGTCTTGCACATAGCTGGCATTCAAATATTTATTGTTGTTAAATGAAATAAAGGGAATTTTGCTACACACGGTGGAGATATGCAGATGACTGATGTTACCCAGTGTTTCCCTACTACATTCTGTCCATTGCCAGGCTGCTCATTGGCTTTGACCGAGGTTGGTGACATAGATAAGGTAAAGTTCTTTAGTGCATTTCCCATTTGGTTTGACCCTGTGTTTTCCTCGTGGTGGACTTAAGATGCTAAACCTTGATCCAGAAGATCTGAAGATCAGGATAAAACCTTTTCCCTCTGCAAATTAAAGCCCCCTGAAAGTTGATATTCCCCATGGAGACTCATGTAGATTTTTCTGAGGTGAAATTTAGGGGACTGTATGTTCATACAGTTCTATTCTCTCTGACTCACGTACCTTATTCTCTTAGCCCTTGTTTCTGCTTTGTGGCTATTTCAGTGCTTCTGGTTTAAAAAAAAAATGGTTTTAATTAGCTCCTTATTTTTAACCTTCCCCTGAGACTGACGCGTTTTGCTTATGTTATGTATACAATGTGTGATTGTGTTCGTGTGTGTCTGCATGTCCCAAATCACGGGCTGTTTTCTTTTTCCATCTCGGTATCCTCATCCCCACCTGCTATTTCCTTCTAGGTGTCTGGACAGGAAGACTTCTCTCATCAGCTTTACCAGAGGAAGCTGCAGGCGCCACTCTGGCCCAGCTCCCTGGGCATCACTGACTGCTGTCAGTATTTCACCTCCTGTCACCCCAAGAGAGCAGGTGAGCCTGTGCCACGTTCTTGGTTGGCTGTGCCTCTGTGCCCATTTTGGGAGACAGCTGGTATTTCAGTGACAAGAGAAAATGTAATTCCCTCAATTCTCTTAGCAAGTTCCTTTGTTTTTTCCACTGTCCTCCTCATGACCTCCCGGCGAAATGGACAACTTTAAATCCTATCTGTTGGAAAATCAGCTTGTCTTCAGAGCCAGGCTTCCTCTGTGTCCCTACACTGGAAGCTTCTCGGTATTAAGGCGGTGTCAGCCTGTGGCTTCTCTTCCTTTCTCTCACTGTATGGCTTTTCCTGGTTTGCAGAGAGACTAAAGTATAGCCGAGACTTCCTGCTGCGATTCCGTTTCTGTGACATCGCCTGTCAGCGACCAGTAGGACTGGTTCTTGTGGAAGGAGTGACAGATACTAAGCCAGGTAATGGAAACTAAGCTTGTTTTCTTGGTCTTCTTTCCTCTTCACCCCTGATATTTGTCACTTATGTGGTTTCTTAGTCTTTTTGTAGGTATAATTCTTAAGGTCAGCTTCTGGCAATAAGCCTGCTTAGAAGGAAGGTCAGTGGAGTTCTGTGGCCATATACACGCATAGATGTGCAGCACAGTGAGAACATGGACCAGGAATCAAGAGACTTGAGTTCCAATCATGTCTGAGACCTTGGATGAGCCATGTAACCTTTTTAGGCTTAAGTTGGTAATAACCAATGTGTGTGCAGCATATAGGGAAGATGCACATGACAGGGTTTGAAAATCATAAGGTGACGGTAGCCCTGCTTGTGATAGAAAGTACTCCTACTGAGAACTACCAGATCAAACATGGTGGAGTACACTTGACATTCTCCCCTTCTTGTCTCTGAAACCATTCCAAAGCAACAAGGAGAATGGAAAAAAGCAATGCAAACTCCATCTTTGAGAAAACTAGGAGATCTGAAGGTATCTGAAACCATGAATCACAACATAAGTAGGCACAGAGGCACAGCCAACCAAGAATGTGGCACAGGCTCACCTGCTCTCTTGGGGTGACAGGAGGTGAAATACTGACAGGAGTGCTGTCAGGGGTGCAGGGGTGCTAGAGGAAGTATGCAAGGACTTATCTGGGGACTATGTAGATCTCAACAAAGAACCAGCACAGTGCATTTCTCCAAGGTGAGGAGTGTACCTCAAGGCACAAAATTAAAATCCCTTATTTCATCAGCAAGAATAGGATGCACAGGTTGTGATAGGGGATTGTCTGAACCTGTTTTGGTCTTAATAGGCACTGGAGAAAAGCCTGATCAAGGAATCAAGCCCTATTTGCATTAAGCAATCTGTTTGAGTGGCAGGAAAAGCAATGAGATACTTAGAGAGCTGCATATTGCTTTTGGCTGGGGAGAAGTAAAGATTAAAAGGACTCATATACAACCCTGGGTCATCAGGAATATTCCTGTTACTTGGAATGCATACCCAGTTCTTCCCTTAGAGAAGCTGTACAGATAGCTGGTACAGAAAAACCTCAACTAATTCAAAGCCAGGCTGCTTAAAAGGAACCAGCATGCAAATTGTGTTATAATACTGCAAGAAAGAAAGAAGAAGGAACAGGAAAAACAAAAGGCAGATAAAGAATGCTTACCTCAAAGATAAAAATTGTTGTCATGAAGCATATGAAAGATTATGATTATTTTTCCATGAATAAAAAAATGAAGCAATTGCCTTTATGAAATAAGAGTCCAAAAATAATTGCCTTTATAAAATAAGTTCAGGCACATTGCAAGACATCAGAAGATGAAATGGAAGCTGCAAAGCCAGGAAAGAATAAAAAATTTAAAAATCACATAAAATGAAGACAAAATTGGGTGCAGCATAAGAAGGAATAGGAATAGATCCTGCTGAAAACAGGCCGAGACAGAGGCTATGAAAGAAAAGCGAAATAAAAAGGAAGTAAAAGGATAAAAGGAATTAGAGAGAAATGATAGTAGTGGAAGATAAGGAGACTGTCAACATACACATAATTGGAGTTCACAAAGAAGAAAACCAATATAATGGCACAGAAGAAATATGTAAAGGTATGATTCAAGGAAGATTTTCCCCAAATTAAAAGATTTGAGTCTTCAAATTGAGAGAATGTACCATGTTTCAGTAAAAAAATGACATAGGAGAATCAACAATAAGACATCTTACTGAAGTTACTAGAAGCCAGAGACAAAAGAATCCTTTGGGCAGTTGAACCAAAAGGATTGGGCTGCTCTTAAGGGTAAAAATAACCAGATTGGCTTCAGACTTCTTAACGTTATCATTCAGCTCTAGAAGACCAGAGAACAAGGCTTCGAGGAAAGAAGGTATGATTCAAGAATTTCATACTCAACCAAAAGCTTTTCTTGACCAAACTGCTAGAACAACCTAAAACAACCAAGCAATGGCTGGAAAAACTATATTAGAAGGACTGGTGATAAGCAATGAATTTATTTTTTCTTGTAGGAATTTAATTTGAATTAGCATTTTGCACAAAGTAATGAACATTTCAGTGGCTCTGTTTGTTTTTTTATTTAATTGCAAAACTAAATCTATTATATAGCTGTAGCAATCACGATAATGTTAATGATAATGATGGCCCCCATGCATGAAGCAGCTAGCATGTTCCAGGAACTGAGATGACTGCTGGTATTAAGTGGGCTCAGGCAGGGAAGCAGTGGCTCAGTGTTTTATAATTACAAAATCCTAAAGTTAAAACAGTAGTAGGACCCCACATTTCATGTTAAGAATATATTATTAAAAACCAAAACAAAACAGTATTGTACTTGAAACATAAAACAAGCATTTCAATTCAATAACAAAATTAAACCTTTAAAACACATACTGATGATCACTTTGTAAGTAGAATCATTATGTAGGGGGAAAATATCCAATTCACTAACTGTAAAATAATAGCAGTATTTTCAAAATTGAGATTAAATTTGAGTAAACACACCCATCCACCGTAAGTGTAGTTACCATCTATCACCATACAAAGTTATTACAATATTGACTCTGTTCCCTAACCTTGTACTTTTCATCCCTATGATTTACTTTATAACTGGAATTTTGTACCTCTTAATCTCCTTCACCTATTTTGCCTCTCCCTCACCCTCTCCTTTCTGTCAACCACTGGTTTGTTCCCTGTGTTTATGAGTCTGTTTCTATTTTGTTCTTTGTTTTGGTTTTTAGATTTCACATAAGGTATTTGTCTTTCTTTGTCTAAGTTATTTCACTCATAATGCCCTCTAGGTCCACCCATGTTGTCACATATGGCAAGATTTCATTCTTTCTTAGGGCTGAATAATATTCCGGGTGTGTGTGTGTGTGTGTGTACACACTATATGTTCTTTATCCATTTATCTGTTGATGGACACTTGGGTTGCTTCCATATCTTGGCTATCGTAGATGAGGCTGCAGTAAACATAGGGGTGCATGTATCTTTTTGAATTAGTGTTTTTGTTTTCTTTGGGTAAATACCCAGAAGTGGAGTTACTAGGTCATATGGTATTTCTATTTTTAATTTTTTGAGGACCTTCCATACTATTTTCCGTAGTGACTAGTTTATATTCCCACCATGAGTAGAAAGACTTAAGTGCAATAAGGAGATCATAATATGTGATCTTTTTTCTAGAAGATGTGTTTAGATATGCTAACAAAGAATATTTCCACTCTAATACTGGAGTCATGCAGCCCACCAGTGCACATCAGAACTTGCTGACTTGACTGTGACACTGGTTTTACTAGGCAGCATGTGAGTTGCAAAAGGAGCTGCAGTGCTAGGAGTGGTGGTCTAACCTTCCCATTGGCTGACACGGCAATGCACCGGAGAATTCTGCATTTCCTGAGTTGTGCAATAAAAACATTGTGATTCTCACTCTCCCCAACTCCCTTTGTTGGGGAATAATTCATGAGAAGAGAATCTAAATTTTAAGTCCCCTTCTTGTAAACATTTTCAATTACTAATGATTTCTTTCCAGTATGGTCTTAAAGACACCGAAAGGGGGTTACTGATTTTCTTTCTCATGACCACTTGCCTGTTTCCACTGAACTCTGGACCCTCAGGTCTTTTAACAAATAACAACAAACCATATGCCCAATACAGTACATTATAGAAAAAGCAATGGCTAATAGATGGTTTTTGTAACCACTATTTACAAACTGACCAGATGGCCACAGACCGAAAGCTGTCTGATCAGTTTTCTAGCCAGGAAAGTTCTGAATCCAGCTTCTCCACTGGCCCATGCCTGGACACAACTTACCCTCTTCCCAAGTACTTGCAGAAGAGCTTACTTGTTTGACTGCTCCCAGTGCTGACTGGGTCAGGAAGACGCTGCAGCTCCGGGAGAGGCAGCCGTGGTCCATGTGCTCATCTGGCCTGGCGGGGCATGCAGAGGCCTCTAGTCCCGTGTGGCTGCCAGAACAGTGCTGTCTGGGCACAGTGCTGCGTGGACAGAACCTGCTGTTGACGGAAGCCATTTGTAGTCCTGCTGCTCACTGAGAGTTTTCTGGTGTATTGTTATGGTAAAGGATACAACTCAAAATGAAGATATTAGCATTATAAATATTTAAGCTTCAAATAACATTACATCAACAATCATAAAGTGAAAGTGCAGGCTTAACAAGGAACAGTAGTCAGAAAATAACTAATGGTAAAGTGTTTTAATTTATCTGTCTTAGCCCACGATAGGTCAAGTAGAAAAAAGATAACCAAGAATATGGAAGACTTCAGTTAACATGTTGTATATGGTAAATCTGATTGATGCATATCAAACTCTGAAAATTGAAAGCAAAGACATCTTTTTAAGCATTCGTAGGAAATTCTTAAGAATTAGACCACCAAAAAAAAAAAAAAAAAAAACTCAGTAAATCTCAAACATAGAAGTCATACAGTCTTTCTCTGATCACACATGCGATAAAAATAGAAATGAGAAACAAAAAAGAAAACATCATCTGGAAAATTTCAAACAACTTTTGAGTCAAAGGTGAAATTTAAGCTAAAATTGCAGAGTATCTAGAAAATAATAATAATGAAAGTACCATATATTTGTGGGATATAGCTAAAACTGTTCAGTGAAAAGTTCATGGAATTATACAGAATATTTAGAGGCACAGAATTACATTTGTAGATAAGACAAAAGTAACTAAATTACACGTTCAACTTAAGTTAGAAAAAAAGAACAAATAAGCTGAAAGAAAACAGAAGATACAAATGGGAATAATTTAGAAAACAGAAAAATAGTGGAACTAATAAACTCTAGGAGTTTGTTTGGGCAAAAAAACAGCTGTCAATTAGGTAGGCCCATTAGCCAACCCATTTCGAAGGGCAGGGAAGGAACAAAAAGTATCCAGATGTAGAATAATTAATAGGATTCTAAGGGGGTTCTTGGCCCAGCTAAGTGCAAAAGAAATCAAAAACTTAGATGGCATATA